TCGGGGGGGGCCCTGGTGGGTCTGAGGGGGCTGCATGTTCTGGGCCCCCAGGAGAGGTCTGGGGGGGCCCTGGTGGGTCTGAGGGGGCTGCATGTTCTGGGCCCCCAGGAGAGGTCTGGGGGGGCCCTGGTGGGTCTGAGGGGGCTGCATGTTCTGGGCCCCCAGGAGAGGTCTGGGGGGGCCCTGGTGGGTCTGAGGGGGCTGCATGTTCTGGGCCCCCAGGAGAGGTCTGGGGGGGCCCTGGTGGGTCTGAGGGGGCTGCATGTTCTGGGCCCCCAGGAGAGGTCTGGGGGGGCCCTGGTGGGTCTGAGGGGGCTGCATGTTCTGGGCCCCCAGGGCAGGTCTGGGGGGGCCCTGGTGGGTCTGAGGGGGCTGCATGTTCTGGGCCCCCAGGAGAGGTCTGGGGGGGCCCTGGTGGGTCTGAGGGGGCTGCACGTTCTGGGCCCCCAGGGCAGGTCTGGGGGGGCCCTGGTGGGTCTGAGGGAGCTGCATGTTCTTGGCCCCCAGGGGAGGGTTGGGGGGGCCCTACTTGAGAGAAGCTGAGGACTCTGCCCCGGTGTTTCAGTATGTGGGGAAGCAGGCCAAGCGGAAGGAGCGGGTGTTTGTCTGGGGTTTCTGTCATGCTGGAGCCCTGGGGATCCCCAGTTTTGTTAAGCCTGATGCAGGCTGGAAAAAGAGCCGGAGGATACAGCCCACACCCTACCGTCTGGACACTGTTGAGAAGGTGAGTGAAAAGCGCTGGGAGACCCATTAAGTTCTATTGGAAGGACGCTGCTTTGGGGTGGAGATGGAGCCAATATTCAGATCCTGTCTCTTCTCCATAATCACAAATGTTTTGGTTAAAGGTGAAAAATTAGCACCAGAATTTTCCCAAAGCTTTGATGTAATCACTTTGTTTAGGCCCAGCTCTGATTTTTTTCCCCAGAGGGCTTTATTTTAAGAAGTATTTACAACATTTTCCTCTGAGGATGAGGATTTTTTCTGTGTTTTATTGAGATGCTTCACCTCTAAGGTAAAAAAACTGGGAAATGTTAGCTCAGTGTAGCAGGAGTCTCAGCCACTTGAATGAACACAATAACTAGGTATGAGATTTTAAATGTTATGTTGAAAAATGCAGAGTAACATTCGTTAGAATTTGACTTTAAAAACTTCCTTTAAATGCTATAAAATCAGTGGGTATATCTCAATGTATAAGACTGATGGGATGAAGCTTTTGGGGATTAATTTAACAGCTTTACTTTGATTCTGTTGCTGCTGGGTAGCATAGCTGGGTCAGTGTCCTGATGGAGAGTTTGTGTCACCATAATTATGGTTCATTATAGTCTCTAATAATCTCTTATTTACATGCTGATAGTCAGGGCTCGCCAGCCGTGCTGTCTGGCAATCTGCGTATGCGCAGATCGCCCGAACCCGGCTCTTCCGGGTTACAATCTATTCGCCACGGGCGAGTAAATTGTATAATTTGTTGAACCCTGCTGATAGTACTTAGAGGGTTCCAGCAGGGATTTAATTGGTAAGTTAATAAAATCAAATAAGCTTCAGTTTTCCAAAAAGGATTGATCACTCAATGTTTTGCTTTTCTTAAAGATATCCTCTGCGGCCTGTGGCTATGGCTTCACACTAATATCGTCAAAAACCACCGACATTACCAAACTTTGGGGCATGGGGCTGAACAAGGATTCTCAGCTTGGCTTTCAGAGAAGCAGGAAGGATCAAAGTAAGCATCTCAGCTCTTCTAGGGATTTGAGGGTTCATAAATACAGTATTGGAAAACACCACAAATACTTCTAGAAGTTTAAATTCCAGCAGAGTTGGTGGACCTTTAAGACAGACCGTTTTGGGAATTTCTTGGAGGTGGAGTGCCAGTGAGGATGGGTAAGACTATGACTGAGGTTGCACCGTTAGTGGTTTCTGAGAATCGTCTTGTAAAGAATTTATATCTCTCAATGGAGTGGTTTAAAATTTTATTTTGTATTTGTAGTGTACCAGCCTCGACTCATTTTGGGCATTAAAGGGTAACCCATCAGCTAGGAACATGTCTTTGAAATCACGTGTTAGACACGTATTTGGTGGTCATCACCAAAGTGGTGTAGATTCAAGTGGTGGTGCAGTTTTTCTGTATCAGGTAATGTTTAAATGTTGGGCATTCAATCTGAACAAATCATAAAATTACCAAAAAGGCCATAACCCATGAAAACATAATTTAATGTTGACCAAAATTGGCAGACAGCTTCTAAATACAATTGATAATGCAGCTATCTTATGTACCTAAAATAGTTCTGCTTTGGAAGGTTTGGGAAATCTTTAGCTCCAGGTGATGTATTGAGTGCATTTTCCCCACATTTTTTTTGCCTTTTGTTAAAGCAGAAGTTTGTACAGGCAGTCCCCGAGTTACGCGGATCCGACTTACGGCGGATCCGCAGTTACGAGCGGGGTCCTCTCCCTGGTCTCCAGCAGACCAGGGAGAGGAAGCAAAGCGGCGGAACACGCGAGCAGCAGACAGCCCAGACGCGTCTGGGCTATCCGCTGCCCGCGTGCTCCAGGGCTTTGCTCTGCTTTGCTCCCCGTCCCCCTGGTAAGACCGCTGCCCGTGTGTTCCGCCGCTTTGCTCCCCGTCCCCCTGGTCTGCAGACCAGGGGAACGGGGAGCAAAGCCGCGGAGCCCGAGGGCAGCAGGACAGCCACGGCGCGTCTGGGCTGTCCTGCTGCCACCGTGCTCCGGACGCCTGTGGTACAGCAGCTGGGGCGCTGCTGGTTGGTCCCGTAGCGCCGCTCTGGGCGCTACTGGACCACCCCAGCAGCACCCCAGCTGCTCTGCCCCAGGAGTCCTGATTCAGCTGCTGCTGGTCAGTTTCAGCAGTGGCTGAATCAGGACGCCTGAGGTAGAGCAGCTGGGGTGCTGCTGGGTTGCTCCAGTAGCGCCTGTGCTGCCCCGCTGCCCGAGCCCCTCCGCGGCCTTGCCCCGCCCCCGGGCTTCCTGGAATCAGTCGCTGATCAGTTTCAGCAGCAGCTGACTTGGGGATGCCTGGGGTTCTTAAGTTGAATCTGTATGTAAGTCAGAACTGGCGTCCAGATTCAGCCACTGTTGAAACTGATCGGTTTCAGCAGCGGCTGAATCTGGACGCCAGTTCCGACTTACATACAGATTCAACTTAAGAACAAACCAACAGTCCCTATCTTGTACGTAACCCGGGGACTGCCTGTAGTCATACAGCAGTATGCACTTGTTATTTTTAGAATGGTCGGATTTGGCAAAACCTTTTTCTTTCTGTTTTTATGAAATTTTGCAGACTTGACCCGTGCTCTCTAATTATAAAACATATTTTTGTTATCTGCTTGGCCAGAGATGTAAGTCTAAAGCATATGTGGTACAACTGGAATGGGTTACCAAGGGAGGTAGTGGAATCTCCATCCCTAGAGGTTTTTAAGTCTCAGTTTGACAAAGCCCTGGCTGGGTTGATTGAGTTGGGATTGGTCCTGCCGTGGGCAGGGGGCTGGACTGGATGACTCCTGAGGTCTCTTCCAGCTCTATGATTCTAACTACAATAACCGCTGTAATTATCTTTTTTCAAGGGGTGTTAGCGTATAGTCATTTAAACGGTTAATTGATAAATCTGGGCTTATCAGTTAATCTTAACGACTACATGCACTCCCCCTTGTTACCCCCTGCTGCTATGCATATTGGCTCCTGTGGAGCTGCTCGCCCCCCCTCCTCCTCCCATGCTGCTGCCTCTGATATAGAGGCGGGGGGGTGAGGGGGATCAGGTGGGAGCTGATTTGCACAGGGAGCTCTGTGGAGCTGCCTGCACCCCTTTGCTGCCTCCCATAGAACCAGCTCTCCCACCCACCAAGCACCAACTTAATGGACCCACCTCCCCCATCCCATGCTGTTGCCTCTGATACAACGGCAGCATCACGGAAGTTGAGGCAGGTAGGATTCCAGAGCAGCCCCTGTCTGCGGGGAGCTCGGGCCTCTTGCAAACTGGGGCTGCTGCCATCTCGTGCTGCTGCCTCTGAAACAGAGGCAGCAGTGCAGGGTGGCAGAAGGCTCCCTGAGAGTGCACTGGATGCCAGCTTTGCCCCTGGGGACCATCGAATAATTGTGTAACCAGTTAGATTTGGTGTGTTTACATGATTGTTAAATTAAACATGTAACATCCTGACTTCTTACTAGCACTGCACAACAATAATTCGTGTAAACTTCTTATATAACAGTAATCACCTTTAGTGGAAGGGCTGTAGAATATCTTGTATGAATATAGCTTGTGAATAACAAAGTTTAACCACACATTCTTATGTAACCCATACATCTAACTATGAGCTACTGACTGTCTAATGTGACGCCCCTTCATGCTATATTTATAGAGCCCTGGGTGGATACAATATTTGTATCCCCATCTAACTTTGTATCCACAAAAATGAGCCGTGGTTATCCACATCCACAGATATCTGCAGATTTGCAGGGATCTATATATTTACTTACAAAAATAGTCCCATAAGTTGCACATAGTTGAAGCATGTTTGTCCCTCAGAATCTGTGTTGGGGGTGCTTAGTACTCTCTTGCTACACTCCTCACTGTCACAGCTGTATGCATTAGAGTACACCAGATCTTCCCTGCAGCCTATGCACTTCCTTGTTGAGCAGGTACTTTTGCAGCTACACTGCCCAAAAGTGAGGATGGCTTCTGGTGCAGACAATGCAACATCGTTTCATTAGCAAGACATCCTGGGCTAGCTATCACCCATGCATTGTTCGCAGTGGACACATGAGCTGTTGCTTGAGCCTGACTGATAATCGGCTATTTCACGTGCTGCCTGAAGGAGGCCATTGTTGACTAATACACATTGATTGGTCTATCCTCCATGAATTTATCAAGTTCTTTTTTTGAGCCATGTTATAGTCTTGGCCTTAACAACATCCTCTGGCAAAGAGTTCTCACAGGTTGACTTGGCTTTGTGTGAAGAAATACTGTGTTTTTAAAACTTCCTAATAATTTCATTTGTTGACCTCTAGTAGAACTAGAGCCCAGCATTTAGGAAATGGCTGTTTACATCTCTCCAGACAGGCAGAGGGGGATTTGGGCTCTGTTCATAAAGTCTGCCTGAACATTCTGTGCTTCCACTTCTTTGTGTCTTCACCCCATCATCAGAGGCTTTCAGGCATGATCAAGCTTTCTCTGATGCATCTCTTCTCATCTTCTGGGAAAACATCATTGTTCATGCAGTTGTCAAGTACTGTCTATTTCCGGTGATTCACTGAATCATTCATAAAGTTATGGCTTCTAATACCACAGTTAAATGATTTCCCTCTTTGAGTATTGTACAACAGTCTGAGGTCTTGCATGAATCTTTCTCTTGATATTCAGCCTAAATTTCCCTTTCTTAACTTCATCCCATTACTGCTAGTTATGTCTCAGCAACAACACTACGTTATTCTTTTCCATCCCTGATAGATATATCCTTCCTTTTTTTAATTTATATTTTTTTACACTGATATCTCTTCTCATACTCTCTCTTTTCCTTCCATCCTCAACCAACTGGGCAAACTATAAATATTTAGCTCTTTCCTCTCCAGCTATCTGATCACTTGCTTGCTGTCTCTGGGTTTGTTTACACTACAGAACCTTTGCATATTTTTGCTGACAGAGCCCCCTAGTGGAGGCTAAAAGTTGTTGGGTGTGTGTTTTTTGTTTGGTTGGTTGTTTTTTTTTGCTGGCCTAATTACATCATCTCCCTGAACAATATTCCCTAAACTATAAGTAGAACTGCTCTGGTAGCAGGTTTGTCTAGACCAGGCATTTTGCCAGCAAAGTTGTGCTGACATGGGCATGTAATTTTTTATCACACCTCTAGCAGACGTAACAGTAATGCTGCCTGTAATGACTCAAGCGTAAG